GCCAGGTCCAGGGTTCTCTCATGGGTCCCTGGAACGGCCTCCCATTGCTGCTGGTCTCCATCGCCACACTCTGCCATGTTCCACTGTTTCAGGTCTCTCACATGCTTGGTGTTGTGTTTCATTTTTTGTCCAAAGGGGGCTGGCGTTTTATTACGGAGCCTCCCATAGCTTGCTGCCATTGGCCCGTAATCTGCCATGGCCCCCTGTACCCGTCTCCTCATCTGCTGCCAGGTTCAGAGTCTCTCATGGGTGCCAGGCGGCCATCCCAGCTGCTGTCTCCTCATTGCCTGCTGTGCCACGTTGCCAGCGTCTCCGCCACACTGCTGCCTGTGTTCTTTGTTTTTTCATAGGGTCCTGGTCAAATTACGGCCTTCACCATCGGCTGCTGCCAGCCCCTTAACCTGCCATGGGCCCCTGCTACCGCCTCCACTTGCTGCTGCCAGGTCCTGAGTCTCTCATGGGTCCCCTGTACGGCCTCCCAGTCTCCTCACATGCTGGTTGTGTTCCATTTTTTGTCATAGGGTGCTGGCAGATTACGGGCCTCCCATAGCTGCTGCCAGGCCCCTAATCTGCATGGGCCCCTGTATACCGCCTCCTCATGCTGCTGCCAGGTCCACAGAGTCTCTCATGGGTCCCTGTACGGCCTCCATTGCTGCTGTCTCCATCGCCACACTCTGCCATGTGCCACTTTCAGGTCTCCTCACACTGTGGTGTGTTCCATTTTTTGTCATAGGGTGCTGGCAGATTACGGGCCTCCCATAGCTGCTGCCAGGCCCCTAATCTGCCATGGGCCCCTGTACCGCCTCCTCATGCTGCTGCAGGCCAGAGTCTCTCACAGTGTACTGTCTCCTCCCTCATGCCTGTGCCACTTTCATGTGCCAACTTTCAGGTCTCCTCACACTGCTGGTGTGTTCATTTTTTGTCATAGGGTGCTGGCAGATTACGGGCCTCCCATAGCTGCTGCCAGGCCCCTAATCTGCCATGGGCCCCTGTACCGCCTCCTCATGCTGCTGCCAGGTCCAGAGTCTCTCATGGGTCCTGTACGGCCTCCCATTGCTGCTGTCTCCATCGCCACACTCTGCCATGTGCCACTTTCAGGTCTCCTCACACACTGCTGGTGTGTTCCATTTTTTGTCATAGGGGTGCTGGCAGATTACGGGCCTCCCATAGCTGCTGCCAGGCCCCTAATCTGCCATGGGCCCTGTACCGCCTCCTCATGCTGCTGCCAGGTCCACAGTGTCTCATGCCATGTGCCACTTTCAGGTCTCCTCACACTGCTGGTGTGTTCCATTTTTTGTCATAGGGTGCTGGCAGATTAACGGGCCTCCATAGCTGCTGCCAGGCCCTAATCTGCCATGGGCCCCTATACCGCCTCCTCATGCTGCTGCCAGGTCCAGAGTCTTCTCATGGGTCCCTGTACGGGCCTCCCATTGCTGCTGTCTCCATCGCCACACTCTGCCATGTGCCACTTTCAGGTCTCCTCACACACTGCTGGTGTGTTCCACTGCTGCAGATGTTTTTTGTCATAGGGTGCTGGCAGATACGGGCCTCCCCATAGCTGCTGCCAGGCCTAATCTGCCATGGGACCTGTACTAGGGCCTCCTCATGCTGCTGTCCATCGTCCACAGTCTGCCATGGGTCACTGTACGGCCTCCCATTGTGCTGCATGTGCTCAGATTACGGGCCACACTCTGCCATGTGCCACTTTCATGGTCCCTACACTGCTGGTGTGTCCATTTTTTGTCATAGGGTGCTGGCAGATGCTACGGGCCTCCATAGCTGCTGCCAGGCCCTAATCTGCCATGGGCCCCTGTACCGCCTCCTCATGCTGCTGCCAGGTCCACAGTCTCTCATGGGTCCATGTACGGCCTCCCATTGCTGCTGTCTCCATCGCCACTCTGCCATGTGTGCCCACTTTCAGGTCTCCTCACACTGCTGGTGTGTTCCATTTTTTGTCATAGGGTGCTGGCAGATTACGGGCCTCCCATAGCTGCTGCCAGGCCCCTAATCTGCCATGGGCCCTGTACCGCCTCCTCATGCTGCTGCCAGGTCCAGAGTCTCTCATGGGTCCCTGTACGGCCTCCCATTGCTGCTGTCTCCATCGCCACACTCTGCCATGTGCCACTTTCAGGTCTCCTCACACTGCTGGTGTGTTCCATTTTTTGTCATAGGGTGCTGGCAGATTACGGGCCTCCCATAGCTGCTGCCAGGCCCTAATCTGCCATGGGCCCCTGTACCGCCTCCTCATGCTGCTGCAGGTCCAGGTCCACGGCCTCCATTGTGCTGTCTCATCGCCACACTCTGCCATGTGCCACTTTCAGGTCTCCTCACACTGCTGGTGTGTTCCATTTTTTGTCATAGGGTGCTGGCAGATTACGGGCCTCCCATAGCTGCTGCCAGGCCCCTAATCTGCCATGGGCCCCCTGTACCGCCTCCTCATGCTGCTGCCAGGTCCAGAGTCTCTCATGGGTCCCTGTACGGCCTCCCATTGCTGCTGTCTCCATCGCCACACTCTGCCATGTGCCACTTTCAGGTCTCCTCACACTGCTGTGTGTGTTCCATTTTTTGTCATTGGGTGCTGGCAGATTACGGGCCTCCCATAGCTGCTGCCAGGCCCCTAATCTGCCATGGGCCCCTGTACGCCTCCTCTCTATGCAGGTCCAGAGTCTGCCTGTAGGTCCACATTGCTGTGTCCTCATGCACACTGTGCCACTTTCAGGTCTCCTCACACTGCTAGTGTGTTCCATTTTTGTCATCATAGGGTGCTGGCAGATTACGGGCCTCACATTGCTGCTGCCAGGCCCCTAATCTGCCATGGGCCCCTGTACCGACTCCTCATGCTGTGACGTTTGCCAAGGTGGAATTCAACCTACATGGGTGTTAGACCGCCTTTACGAACAGCGAAAGGCCATCACCGCTTTCCTGATGTTACAAGCGGAATAAAGGTACTCCCCTGTGTAACTTAGATGTCAGCCATTGGCAGCTCATGCGTGACACCTGCCGCTTGCTCAGGCCCTTTGAGGAGGCCACGCTATTCGTGAGTCGGCAGGACTATGGGGATGAACGACGTCATTCCTCTGTTGCACGTCCTGGAACAAATGTGTGTGTTAACAATGGCTGGTCACGGGGTGCGGTAGCGTGGCGCACTAATCTCAATGGGCCACATGACCCCTGTGGGCTGCAGGACAGGAAGAAGAGGTCCCTGAGGTAGAGGAGGACATTTGTGCTCAGGAATTATTGAGTGAAATGGGTGGTTTTTCCACTCAGCGGACAGGAGTGGAGGAGCAGGAGAATCTGGTAGAGGAGGAGGCTGGAGAGACAGAGGACCCAGACGCACCGTGGCAGTATGCTGTGGAGATGGCTGCCAGGGAGTCCCTCGCATTCCTTGCACAAATGGCCCATAGCATGCTCGGTTGCTTGCGTAGCGACAGGGATTGACTTTTGGCTGTCCACCCTTGTTGGACCCTCGCTACCGTGTCCCAAACTGGTGGCCTTTTTCACACCTGCTGAGAGGGAGTCTCCAAAATAAAGTGCTATAAAAATCCACCTATGTAGTCAGTTGGTCTCTGCCTTTCTGCGCCAACGTCCATCCTCAGACACTGTGGGCCCTGTGCGCGCTCGCGTTCCGCTGCCATGGCAGCAGGGGAGGGGTGGGGGTGGTAGGAGCTGTGCAGCTGCACCAGCAGCGTGGGTCCCTGTACGGCCTCCCATTGCTGCTGTCTCCATCTGCCATGTGCCACTTTGAGGTCTCCTCACACTCCTGTGTTTCCATTTTGTCATAGGTTGCTGGCAGATTACGGGCCTCCCATAGGTGCCGCCAGGCCCCAAATGGGCCATGGGCCCCCGTACCGCCTGGTCACGCTGCTGCTGGTCCCACAGTGTGACTCTGGGTCCCTGTACCGCCTCCCATTGCTGCCACTCTGCCATGTGCCACTTTGAGGTCTCCTCACACTCCTGCTGGTTTCCATTTTGTCATAGGTTGCTGGCAGATTACAGGGCCTCCCATAGGTGCGCCAGGCCCCAAATGGGCCATGGGCCCCCGTACCGCCTGGTCACGCTGCTGCTGAGCCCACAGTGTGACCTGGGTCCCTGTACCGCCTCCCATTGCTCCCACTCTGCCATGTGCCACTTGGAGGTCTCCTCACACTCCTGCTGGTTTCCATTTTGTCATAGGTTGCTGGCAGATTACCGGCCTCCCATAGGTGCCGCCAGGCCCCAAATGGGCCATGGGCCCCCGTACCGCCTGGTCACGCTGCTGCTGAGCCCACAGTGTGACCTGGGTCCCTGTACCGCCTCCCATTGCTGCTGCCAGGCCCGTAATCTGCCATGGGCCCCCGTACCGACTCCTCATGCTGCTGCCAGGTCCAGAGTGTGTCATGGGTCCCTGTACGGCCTCCCATTGCTGCTGCCAGGCCCCTAATCTGCCATGGGCCCCCCTACCGCCTCCTCATGCTGCTGCCAGGCCCGTAATCTGTCATGGCCCCTGTACCGCCTCCTCATGCTGCTGCCAGGTCCAGAGTGTCTCATGGGTCCCTGTACGGCCTCCCATTGCTGCTGCCAGGAGGCAGCAGTGTCAGTGGAGGCAAACGGACACGGAGTAGAGTAGAGCACCAGCTCCACTGCAGACTACCACCACGGCCAGTAGTGGTGCCGGTGTGCACGGAGGAAGTAGCAGTCAGCCAGTGAGGCGTAGCGGGGGCAAAGTTTCCTACTCGGCGGTGTGGCAATTTTTCGTCAAGCCGCCCGAGGAAGTAAACGTAGCCGTATGTCGACTATGTGGCCAGAAAGTCAAGCGTGGCCAGGGTGCCCATGTTGGGACTACAGCGTTGCGTCAGCATATGCAGCATCGCCATTCGGTGGCCTGGGAAAACCGTGATAAAGATATGGCGGTTCTGCCTGCCCCAGGCCAGGGTTCCATTTTGTCATAGGTTGCTGGCAGATTACAGGCCTCCCATAGGTGCCGCCAGGCCCCAAATGGGCCATGGGCCCCCGGACCGCCTGGTCACGCTGCTGCTGAGCCCACAGTGTGACCTGGGTCCCTGTACCGCCTCCCATTGCTCCCACTCTGCCATGTGCCACTTGGAGGTCTCCTCACACTCCTGCTGGTTTCCTTTTTGTCATAGGTTGCTGTATGGCCTCCCATTGCTGCTGCCTCCACCGCCACACTGTGGCTCCAAACACTGGTTTTGGCCCCGTGACTGGCCAAATGAGTGAAGTGTGCAGTGATTCTAAGATCGACGGCACTCATCTGCATGTCATACTGACTGACAGTATTATTTCTCTTCCCCAGCAGACTCCAAGGGCATTTAAATTAAAGGTACAGTGTTCTGCACTAATATTAAGTCTCTCTGAAGCCTAGAAACACCCTTTTTTAAGTTAAATTCACAGCGAATATATTCGACTCGAATCGAATATTTTCCACGAATTCGACGAATCAGTCGAATCGAATTTTTCAATACTTCGCTCATCTCTAATGGTGATCATATCCCCCTTATGTATTATACATGGAGATCATATCCCCCCTTATGTATTATACATGGTGATCATATCCCCCCTTATGTATTTATACAGGGAGATCATATCCCCCCTTATGTATGATACAGGGTGATCATATCCCCCCTTATGTATTATACAGGGAGATCATATCCCCCCTTATGTATTATACATGGAGATCATATCCCCCCCTTATGTATTATACATGGAGATCATATCCCCCCCTTATGTATTATACATGGAGATCATATCCCCCCCTTATGTATTATACATGGAGATCATATCCCCCCTTATGTATTATACATGGAGATCATATCCCCCCTTATGTATTATACATGGAGATCATATCCCCCTTATGTATTATACATGGAGATCATATCCCCCCTTATGTATTATACATGGAGATCATATCCCCCCTTATGTATTATACATGGAGATCATATCCCCCCTTATGTATTATACATGGAGATCATATCCCCCCTTATGTATTATACATGGAGATCATATCCCCCTTATGTATTATACATGGAGATCATATCCCCCCTTATGTATTATTACATGGAGATCATATCCCCCTTATGTATTATACATGGAGATCATATCCCCCTTATGTATTTATACATGGAGATCATATCCCCCCCTATGTATTATACATGGTGATCATATCCCCCCCCTTATGTATTATACATGGTGATCATATCCCCCCTTATGTATTATTACATGGTGATCATATCCCCCCTTATGTATTATACATGGAGATCATATCCCCCTTATGTATTATACATGGAGATCATATCCCCCCTTATGTATTATACATGGGAGATCATATCCCCCCTTATGTTATACATGGAGATAATATCCCCCTTATGTATTATACATGGAGATCATATCCCCCCCCTTATGTATTATACATGGAGATCATATCCCCCCCCCCCCTTATTATTATACATGGAGATCATATCCCCCCCCCCCTTATGTATTATACATGGAGATCATATCCCCCCTTATATATTATACATGGAGATCATATCCCCCTTATGTATTATACATGGAGATCATATCCCCCTTATGTATTATACATGGAGATCATATCCCCCCTTATGTATTATACATGGAGATCATATCCCCCTTATGTATTATACATGGAGATCATATCCCCCCTTATGTATTATACATGGAGATCATATCCCCCCTTATGTATTATACATGGAGATCATATCCCCCCCTTATGTATTATACATGGAGATCATATCCCCCCCTTATGTATTATACATGGAGATCATATCCCCCCTTAATCTCCTCTTCTCAGTAGAGAATAGATTCATGTTCCTCTAATCTTTCCTCATAGCTGATCTACTCCATGCCTCGTATCAGTTTGGTTGCCCTTCTCTGCACTTCTCCAGTTCCCCAATGTTCTTTTTGTGAATTGGAGCCCAAAACTGAACTGCATATTCCAGATGAGGTCTTACTAATGATTTGTACCGGGGGGAGGGGGGGTGATATCTCTCTCTCTGAAGTCTATACCTGTCCCAGATCCTTCTCCACCATT